ACAGGGCTTTTTTTTTATCTGAATGCAGCTGTATTGTTTCCTATTGGTGTGTGAAGATTAGTACATCTGTGCTGCATTCAGATCTGTCAAATCAGAATTGTAAAAAGTCTGTCTTTCTGCATATAGATCATATTTAAGGCTGCAGAAATGTAAACGTTTGTGCCAACATTTACATGCATGTAGCGCAAATGCACTTTATTGGAGCCACATGTGGCCTTTGTTGCCAGGATGCAGGCAGCTCAAGCCACCTAGTCTCTACTGTTAAAGTGTCTGTTGCTAGGGTGCAGGCAACCCAAGCCACGTAGCGTCATTCGATCAGCTTAGCATTCTTGGTGAGGGTTTTTTTCTTCCAGTCTACAACTGCTCACAGGCTGAGCCAATCCATTAATTGTATCGCCCCAGGTGTGTCTGCCTCACAGGTGTGTGGCCTTATTACTGATTGCTCTGATTGCAACCTTCGGGTTTCGTGTGCATCTGAAGAGTGTACAGCACTTTCTTAGTCCATGATGAGGGCCTTTTTTTGCTGAATTACTACAGCTTTATGTCACCTGGATAGAAGCTGTATATATGTATAAACATTTAGTGGCCAAGTGAAGGGGCATGCAGCATCCCTTGCCATATGCTAACACAGCAATAGAAGTTTTTTTCTCTTGCACAGCTTGATGCATACATTGGTAGACAAACACCTGTAAGCATTTGTATGACTATACTGTCTGCAAACTATCCCATTTACCTCTTTAAGGAAAGACGTAACTGGTTTTTCATGGTTATGAGCGTCAGTATTGTGCATACCTTATGTATTGGTATTATTATACTGTTTGAAAATAACCAATTTATTGCTCAGTGAAAGCATCTTTGGTTCATGAGGTTGTTATGGAACTCTGTGTTTGCGCATACCTTATGTATCGTGCGGGACAATGCAACGGAGTAAGCTGGCGACAGACACCCAGGACTCTCAGCCAGAGGGCCTGAGAGGCTCCAGAAGATAATTAGTTTTGCAGGGAAGAAGCTGGCCTTTCAGTTTCTTCTGGTTTTTCTGGATTGTAGCTGGGATCTGGATCTTTGGAGATTTCTTAAGGTGCCCATACACCTTACGACCATCGCAAGACTTTTTAAGTCTTGCGATGGTCGTAAGCTTATTAAAAGCTTGTACAATCTGCCCATCTTGGACAGGCAGATCGTACTTGCGATCATCGAAAGCCCGCCCCACTGACCGCAATGCTGAACGGGCAGTGTGCGCGTGCGCACACCGGCCCGTTCCGCAGTTGTCAAACGAGCAGGCTAGAAACCCGCCGACAATCGTACGATTCTCGGCGGGTTTTCTAGCATGCTGGTTCGACAAAAGACGTGCGACCGTACAGTAAAAACGGTCGCACGCCTTCCATACACCTTGCAATTATCGTACGATCGCGGAATTTCCCACTATTATGGTGCGATAATCGCAGGGTGTATGGCCACCTTTTTAATAGCTCCGGGTGGGATGAAAGCTCCAGTCCTGAGGTCAGGTGTTGCCAGTCATCAGGTGGCTGAGAGCAGCCTCATTAAGAGCCCAGACCATAATTTCTCAGGACCTGTGATTGGCGCTGTCAGCTTCCTGGCGGGCTCGGCACGTGGAGCTGCGAACACGCTTGAGCCCATCACTATTCCTGAAGAGATTCTGTTGAGGAAAATAGTAAAGTCCTGGGACACTTAACGGGATTAGCTGTGAATGGTGAGATGATATGTTTGGAGAAATACAAGCATACTTTGTTGTACTGCTGAAGAAAGCTATTTTTCTGTTACAATGAACGGACTGCGCACGTGAGAACTGTAGCCCATAAAACACATAGGGATACTTTTGGGATGCAGGAGTGTACGGATCAGGTCAGCACAGAAAACAGACGTCGTGTGAACAGGCCCTTAAAGACAGATTTGCACATTAAAAAACAAATTATCTAAGAGGCTTAAACTGTCGCAAGATCCCTGCTGATCAGATCCGTTACTTGTTACTGACCTGAAACAAGCATAGGAGTTCCATCATCACGGGCTGCACGCTTGTTCCAGATCGGTAACTCTCAAAGTATTAAAACCACAGAATAAGCATGTCAGAGAGGCAGAGATAGAGAGAGCTCCTTCCCCTCTGTCATCAGCGATCCACGATCTGTCAGCAGGGAGAGAAAGAGAGAGGGGGGGAAGGAGCTGGCACACGGGGACGTGCAGGTAAGGAGAGAGCTGCTGCGCATGTCCATATATTCGTGGACGCGCAGCAGCTCTCAAGAATCACTGTCAATCATCAGTGGGGAGGATCCCATCCGAAACGTCAGGATGTCTTCTCATTGCGGCGCTTAGCCCCGCCCACCACCTAAAATAAGGTTTTACAGCCTTCCTGTGCATTTTGGCTAATTACAGTAAATTACATTATTTAATTATTTAGCCTAAGGAATGCATTCATAAAAAAAAAGATAGAACCCCATAGTTCTCCTTTTAAACCTAATTTATCAACAAAATTACACTAGCTTGATAAATCTGGTGCAAATATATTCCGTGCAAGTTCAAACACTAGCAACTGCTTTGATAAATTCCCCCCAGAGAATATACTACAGAGTAAGAAGGTACCAATAACTAATATAGAAGCTAAAAAGAAGAAAGAGGAAGAAATAAGCTAAAAAGCGGAGGCAATTGAAAAGACAAAAAGAGAAGAGTACACCCATAGGGTTTGCTGGAACTGTTTTTGGACGTTTACAGGTTCTACTTCTGCACCACCTTTTGTGAGTGTATGTATGCATGCTTTTATATTAAGTAGATCTGTAAAATGTACAGCACCAGCTTGTCTCCTTTTCTACTATATTTTTGTAGATCATTACTGTCTGCTAGACAAGTTTACATGATAGGTGCATTTTGTTTTGCCTGCCCAGTGGCTGCTGTGGACTTTGAGACTTTATTTACTGCAACTTTCAGTAATTTAGTTGGCACAGTGGGACTCAATTTCTGTTGTTTTATTGTACATAGAAAGTGGGCAGCTGTTTAATATTCCCTGCCTGTCTGTTTTACTGGAGGAGGAATTTAAATTTGAAGAGGGAACAAGTTACCCACCACTTATAACATGTAATGGGTATAGGTTGAAGATTACACCATTGTAGAGCTATTTTCCTATTCTGTGAAATATATTCAAAAATTACATTGCTGTTAGTGCTGTGGTCTTGTCCTATTGGTGTTATGAGTTTTGATCTGTCTGCAAGGAGTTTGCACATTCATATCTGCATGTGTATATATATATATTTTTCAGGGGTGTGGACATTTTAAAAAAAACTACTTGTCCAAGGGCTAAAGCGGGGGCCAAATCTACTTGTCCTTCATGACAATCTACTTGTCCCAATACAATAAATAGTTTTAATCAAAACTAAGGATGCACCAATACCGATTTTTGGGTATCGAGTACCGATTTTTTTGCTTTTTGATCTCGCCGACACTGAATACTAATACCTGTGCTTCCGCTGGCATGGAGCAGGCTTCCCTGGTAATCAAGAAGCCGGGCAGCGGGTAATGACATCCCGCCCAGGTTCCTGATTGCCACGGAATCCGGCTCCATGTTGTTTGGCCTGCTTGATTGCGATTGGCCGGGAAACCTGCTTCCCGGTCAATCAGGAAGCCGGGTGGCGAGTAATGACCTGATTGACCGGGAAACTGGCTCGATGCTGATTGGCCAGGAAGCCGACTTTCCAGCCAATCAGCAAGGAGTCGGCTTCCCGGGCCATTCAGAAAACCAGTAGGCGGATCATTAATTGCCGCACGGCTTCCTGATTGCACGGGAAGCTGGCTCCATGTTCCCCTACGGCACTGGCAGTGCCGTAGGGGAGGGGAACATGTGTAAGAATTCTCTTACACACACGTAAGAGAATTCTGGCTACCATCATGGAATGGCGGCTGCAATCTCAAAGCACATGCAGAATGTCCTACGCATGCGTTTATTTGCATGCAGATGGCGGGGGCAGCAGGGTTTCATTTTTATTTTTTTACTTTGTCATTTTTATTTTTTACTTTTTCATTTTTTAAATCTTTATATATTTGATTTTTTAAACTTTTTAAATTTTCTTTAACTTTTTATTTATTTACTTTTTCCCCTTTAATGTTCTTCCTATTACATAGATTAAAATCCCTTATGTGATAGTTTGGAGGTGACAGGTTCTCTTTATGGAACCTGCCCTCCAACACATAACAGAGGTTCTGTGTAGTTCCTGACAGCCGAGACAGGTGGCGCTGTGATTACAGCGCCACGGTCTCAGAGAATACACAGAGAGCCCGTAGAGCAGACGTTTTCCGTCTGCTCTACGGGCTCTATGGCGGAGCCGTTGTGCCTTCGTTTTTGGGGTCCCCCGGGAGAGCGGGCGACCCCGAAAACTACGGCGGGGGGGTGCGGGCAGAAACTATCGCCGCTGCTCAAATTAATACAAGTGGTCTGATCAGACCACTTGTAGTAAACGAGCGGCGGCGGCTGCACAATGTACACTCAGCTCTGTTTGTCCGGAGCCGGGCTGAATGTACTAAAACTACTCGCCCGGCGCCCGAAACT